GGAGTCGTCCATCTGTGCTTTGTGACAGTGCTTTGATTAGCCTCTCCTGTGTCCCACCTCAACTCCCCACCAAGGCAGTGGGTGGCAAACTTCCACTCACCATCTCTGAGGTAGTGGTTTGTGCCCTTACCAAGGGAAAGGGGAAAATTAACGCAAAAGTTTTATAATTAAGATCACTTCTCAATCTAAACTTAACTGGGCTATGTAATGTGACTTACAAAATACTTTAGACTTACTTTGAGTTTCAGTGTCTTTCAATTTTACATACAGATATGGCTGTAACTAGCACGGTGACTGATAAGATTTATTTGTCACAGACACAATTATACTCAATACAATGTGCAGTGAAATGCTTGGTTGCCGGTACGCTCACGACAAGCGCCAGATGCTCGAAGAACTACAATTAAACTTTTTCATGAGCAAATGAGCCTACACAAGGAACATTTTTAAGTGCAAGATTATATGTGTTAGATTTTTTGGCACATTTTTAACGCAGTTACACGAGCAGCTTATCATTTCGCCATCGAACTGGACGAAACTGGAAAATGCGGTAAGAAACCGGCTGTACTGAAGTAAAATCAGACTCGTGAAATTTACGACATTTACACAATAACGCAAATTCTAATAGCTAGCCATCTATTTTAACGTGACTAGCTATATATTTCCAAATGATCAAAAATGTCTTTAAGCTTATTCACACTTCACATCCTAACCAACAGTATGGAGTAATATAAATATATGGCAAAGAAACGTATGAATATACATAAACATGTTTCTCGATCACAATAAAAAATTCAAATACTCACTTGTTCAACCGCTTCACCATTTATTTCCGGTCACGTGAACAAGCGTAACAGCGTTCGCGAAAACGTCAGTCATGTGATTCAGGTCAATCGTTGAAAAGATTTGACATACTGAAAGCCACAAGTATTATCTTTCTGAAACTATGTTCATGTAATACTGCTCAAATTAATATACAGAAATTGCACTACAATATACATCTTACTTTCCACTATAGACTGAAGGTATAGGCTACATCATTACTGCCTGTAGAAAAAACGCAGTCAGTCAAATGCAGTGTAATATAAAGTAATACACATGTATTAAAATAATACTTACATATTACTTATAAATCATATATATATATTTTAATATACCCCTGTCGTGTTCGGCAGTTTAGCAAGCAGGATGTTAGTCTGGGTGCTTTATTGTGCCGACACTTTTATTTTGCGAAGTGGAGCTTCGGATTAAGCTCCTCTTGTTACTTGAGATATACTCTTTATTCACCGTTTTAGATTATTGCGCCATTAAGGCGGAGCCGACAGGGAAAGTTAACTGAAATAGGAGAGATAAAGAGAGGAAGAGAGGAGGGACAGAAAGAGGAGAGGGAAAAAGAGAAGAGAGAAAATAAGAAAAAAAAAGGGGGGTCAGATAGAGAGAGAAAACAGGGAGAGAAAAATAATACATGACAACTTGACAAGACAAGAAAAAGTAGAGCAAAAGGAAAGAGTAACAAAAAGACAGCTTCTGCATCTTAGTGCTGGACATTGTATCATCACACCAGCTGTTGTATTTGAAAAACAAGATCCAGGTGCCACACAAAAAGTATACATACAAAAAAACCAATGGTACCATTATGACAGAGAATAAGCTTGTGCCAATATCTGCTTCTGGAATTAAATACATTAATAACAAAGAAAAAAATACATAAGTATTTGCACCAGTATCTGCATCTGAGAAGAAAGGATGGAAGCCAAACACACACACACACACACACACACCCAGACAAGGAGGAGAGAGAGGGATAACATAGGGCAAGAAGGCCCTGGGCTATCTTGTATGTGCGTGTGTGTGTGCATGTCTATGTGTATGTAAGTGGGTGTGAACGTGTGTGCGTGTGCATATGTACGTGTGTGTGTGCATATATACGTGTGTGTGTGTGCACATGTGTGTATGTTTGTGTGCTGAGAGTATATGTATGAGTGTGCAGGTTAACATGGAATGATTCCCAAGGAGTGTGCGAAGCCACAACCACGCCGCCCCGGGGCCCCCCAGACGGCCAGGAAAGCCCCGAGCGATCATGGACCCAGCCACCCCACAGAGGCCAGGCACCCGGGCCCCCCGCCACCGGAGGGCTGCGCTGCGCAGCCTGCGCGTCCGCCCAAGGAGGCAGAGGGGGGAGGCACCGGGCGCCCCCCACCGGCGAGCACGAGCCAGGAGCCCCACGGCCACAGGCGGCAGCGCACCGACCCCCCCCGGGGGGCCAGCTGCGCATGACGGATACAGCCCGGAGCCTGGGCCACCCACACGCCCCGTGGGGGCCCCGCCAGCTAATCCCCCCCCCCCCTTCCCTCTCTAAAAGAGATGGGGGGTGAATAGCTGATCACCCCCATTACCTATGTGTGGTATAGGTGGATATGGGCTGGGGGGGGAGTGGGGTAATAGGTGGTAGCGCCGCAGGGCAGCGGGCATCAGGCAAGGCACGCCCAGATGCGTGGCACCAACACCCAGGGGGGCACCACCGCCCCCCGCCCCAACCCAAGGAGGTGTCTGGAGCATCATCTGCACAGACGTCGCCGACGAGCCATTCATGCACAGATACCCACATTCACCAAACACCCGCACCTCACCACACCCGCACCACCCCATCACCGACGTGCTCCCCCATCCCAGGCCATACATGCAGACATACAGAACATGCAGACTCACCAGATACACACACCGACACGCACGCCCACACGCACACACTCATCTTGAGGCCCGGCAGCAGATTCCTTGGAATTGTCCAGTGGACGACTCCAGAGGATGTTCCCCCAGACCCCAGGTCGCAGGCTAGTGGCCCCCTGCCGAACCCGCCGCCCCCACCATCCCCCAAGTCCCCTGGTCCGCCCACCACCCCCCTTGATCATTGGGAATGGACATGTGTGCGACACTAAGGTGCAGTTAAAATGTGGGGGGACATAAGTGGGGGATGGATACCCCAGCCAGAGCTGCGGTCCCCCCCCACCGGCCCCCACAAGCCCTCAATGTCTAAAGTAGAGTTAAAATAGAGGGGGAGGGAGCCGCGCCGTCCAGCTGTGGGCTGCCAGGGTAGCCGACCCAGGACCTGCACAGCTCCCCCCACCCTCCAAGGCCCTATGTGAAAGAGTGGTGTGACATGGATGTTTGTCAATTAAACATAAACATAAAGTGCAATTAAAATAAATCTTGTTTTGAGTCAAGATTGTGCAGAATTCATAATTTATGAATCGTGTCCCATTCCATTTATGAACTGGAATTTGAACTTAACTGATCACATCTCACAGGAGGTTGAATTTCAATTTGAATCAGACTAATAGGAAGAATTTATTTTAATTCAAAGGAATTCAATGCAGAATACAACACAGGAATGCCATTGATCCTAGCAAAACATATTATAAACTTACTGTCTTGATAGTAGATGTAAATACTGAGCTTATACACTCACCTAAAGGATTATTAGGAACACCATACTAATATGGTGTTTGACCCCCTTTCGCCTTCAGAACTGCCTTAATTCTACGTGGCATTGATTCAACAAGGTGCTGAAAGCATTCTTTAGAAATGTTGGCCCATACTGATAGGATAGCATCTTGCAGTTGATGGAGATTTGTGGGATACACATCCAGGGCACGAAGCTCCCATTCCACCACATCCCAAAGATGCTTTATTGGGTTGAGATCTGGTGACTGTGGGGGCCATTTTAGTACAGTGAACTCATTGTCATGTTCAAGAAACCAATTTGAAATGATTCGAGCTTTGTGACATGGTGCATTATCCTGCTGGAAGTAGCCATCAGAGGATGGTTACATGGTGGTCATAAAGGGATGGACATGGTCAGAAACAATGCTCAGGTAGGCCGTGGCATTTAAACGATGCCCAATTGGCACTAAGGGGCCTAAAGTGTGCCAAGAAAACATCCCCCACACCATTACACCACCACCACCAGCCTGCACAGTGGTAACAAGGCATGATGGATCCATGTTCTCATTCTGTTTACGCCAAATTCTGACTCTACCATTTGAATGTCTCAACAGAAATCGAGACTCATCAGACCAGGCAACATTTTTCCAGTCTTCAACTGTCCAATTTTGGTGAGCTAGTGCAAATTGTAGCCTCTTTTTCCTATTTGTAGTGGAGATGAGTGGTACCCGGTGGGGTCTTCTGCTGTTGTAGCCCATCCGCCTCAAGGTTGTGCGTGTTGTGGCTTCACAAATGCTTTGCTGCATACCTCGGTTGTAACGAGTGGTTATTTCAGTCAAAGTTGCTCTTCTATCAGCTTGAATCAGTCGGCCCATTCTCCTCTGACCTCTAGCATCAACAAGGCATTTTCGCCCACAGGACTGCCGCATACTGGATGTCAGACCGGCCCGTCTGGCACCAACAACCATGCCACACTCAAAATTGCTTAAATCACCTTTCTTTCCCATTCTGACATTCAGTTTGGAGTTCAGGAGATTGTCTTGACCAGGACCACACCCCTAAATGCATTGAAGCAACTGCCATGTGATTGGTTGATTAGATAATTGCATTAATGAGAAATTGAACAGGTGTTCCTAATAATCCTTTAGGTGAGTGTATATATACACGTGTATAAAGTGTACTTTATATTTTCATGATTGTAAGGTAAAAAATTCAGTTTACACTTGGATTATGTTGCCTGCCTCCTTTCAACTGGCACGTGTTGTTTTTGAACAGTAAACTGTTTGTGTGTATTAACAGGGTCATTTCATTCTACATCAACAAACTTCCAAAAACGCTTTTGCACCACGATATATTTTTAAATTGGTCTATGTATATATGCGGATCCCTACATGCGAATATCTGAATGAGTTTGCATGTTCTTGCACCGTAGCTTCTGGGTTAGGCACCATCCCAGGTAACGAATAACAATTTTTTCTCCTCTTTGCAAAATGCTTTCAATCAAGTGTCATTTGATTTCAGGTAAAAAAAAAAAACAAGAGAAGAATCGTCACACAATATGAGGGGAAAACTGGTTTTTATTAAACTGTTGCCTGAAAACGTGTTTTTGCACTGGTCTGTTCATTACTAATTTATTAAAACTAAATAATTCCAATACCTTGCACAACCTAGACAAAACAAAAACCTAGACAAACTTACAATTGCTATGCACACTCAACACTTACATGGCATGTAAATATAGTTAGTAGTAGTAATATGTTTTAATAGAGTATACAACCATAGGAAGAAACTCAGGAAGAATATCTGTAAATGACACAAGAACTAAATATTACTGTAAGAACGGTAATTCAGATCCTCAGTGAGGACAGTGTTTAGGACCCACACACCAATGTTCAGAACAGCCGACTCAGCCCACACGTGTACAATTTATACAGTATATATGTAAATATTTTTTCTTGGAGTCTTTGCACTACCTCCACTACCTGCCAATTTTGCACACCACGGACATTCTTGATTATTATTAATGTTAAATGTTAATACGTAATATGTCTTGCCGCTTAAACCTACGTCCTCCGTTCACAGTTTGGGGCAAGGCAAACCATGCATTTCACTGCACGTTGTACAGAGTATAATTGTGTATGTGACAAGTAAAACTTTGATACTTTAATAACAGAGCAGAGTAGGGTAAGCGGCATAGACGATTATTTGCCCGTACGCCTAAAAGCCACGCTGACGGATAGATGTTAACTCTAATCAGTAGTTTAGGGAAGCAATTAAATTAGCCGTCGCTGGAAGGCTCACCTCTTGGCATACTGTCGCTACCTGCCACCAGACAGTAGATCTAGGATTGCATTAAATTATGTTCATGTATGACATACTTTTCAAAAATGTAGAAACTACTCATTCAATTATATTCGCATTTCTTATATGACTTTGGTCTTTTCCCTATTTTAATTGCGTTTAAATTGCGGTTATGACATGCCATTAGTTTACAATGTGTTTATATACCATCCATCCATCCATCCATCCATCACTTTTCTGTACCGTGTTAATTTAAAATACACAGAATAGCCGCACCGGCCGGCGCTGGCATTAGGTAACTGCATGGTCTGGACCCGTCGGGTGGACAGTTTAGAGGAGACGCTTCTCAGCGCAGCCGCGGCAGCAGCACGGTACCCGAGGACGTCACGTTTCTCCGTCTCATCAAGGTTAGAAATCTGACATGTCTGTTTCACTGTCACATGTTTACCAAGCTACGCAAATGCACATCATACTCAGCCAGGAGTTTCTGCCTGTTGCCTATTTAACAATATGGTATATAAGTAAGAAATTAGTTATTTAAGCATTTTGTGTAGTGACTTGAACGATTTAACAAAAGATTATCCCCGTTTTAAGTTTCATGTGCATGGTGGTCATGTGGCGACGCATCATCTGCACCTGCTGCAGCCGCTGCTGCAATGCCTGCGCTGCAATGCCCGCTGCTATGCCCGCTGGCTGGCCTGGTACTTGGCTGCTCGCTGCTTTATGAAGGCGACCATGAGCTGCGGGTTGGACCTGAGGATGCGGAGGACCTCCTGTTGCTGTTCCGGTGAGCTGGGGGAATTAAGCGCGTGCAGCAGGTCTTGCAGAGCGGTGGCGGTGATGGGGCCCTGCGGCGGCGGAGCAGCCCCAGGCAGGCAGGGTGGTTGCTGGGGCATCAGGGGGCTCTCCATGGGCATGGCTGCTTGGGGCCCCTGGGGGGGGGGCTGCTGCTGGGGAGGGACCTCCTGCTGCTGCGGGGACAGGGTGGCCATGCTCTGGCGCATCATCTTTTGCCTGACGTTGAGGCAGTAGGGCACGGGACACGTGCCATCCTGGCAGCGCTTGGCATGGTAGCAGCAGAGCGCAATGAACTGCTTGCACATGGGGCAGCTGCCATTGGTCTTGCGCTTGCAGCCCTTGGAATGCTGCACCATGCGCTTCATCTTCTGGCAGACGTGCACCGTGCAGCTGGCATTGTGGCAGTGGCAGGCGTGCACCAGAGACTGGATGCAGCGATGGAAGCTTGAATACCGGCTGTCCTGCGGGCTCTCAGAGGCCTCGGCCCCCAGGCTGCTGCTGGCCATGGATGGAGAAGTCTTCTTGCACACGATGCACGACAATCTGAAACAAGTGACATAGTGCTAGGCAATCATGCAACAACAACACCACAGCACTGGATGATCAATAAGCCCCATTACACCGCAGGAACTTTTTTTCAGGAATCAGGAACTTGTGTTGCATTCCCAGCACAGCAGCTCAGCCTAATTGTAGTTCCTGGTGAAACAGTTACTAGCGCTAAGCAGTATGACCAAAAATTAATATTACGGTATTTTTTTTTAAGACTGTGGTGGTTTCACGCTAAATCATGGTATTTTTTTTCCCAAGCTCACTCTCACAGAGGCAGTAAGCGATCACAGCAATAAAATACACCAACGAATGTTTAGAAAAAGGGGTGGTTTTTATTGACAATTGTATATTCAGCTCCATAATCATGTTTTATTGATTATTTAGCTTACTAAAGTTCTACTGATATGTTTGATTAGATCAATGATGTACATGTAATTAGATAGCGACACGTTTTGATTATATATATTTAGTTCCACAGAAACATGATTTATTGATATTACCGTATGTTTAGCTTGATAAAATGTGTGCTTAACTGGCATGATTTTAATAATTATTACCAGGACAATTCGATTATAATAGGCATTTTTCCTTCCCGATACGCATTTAATCGCAGACCTAATTATATTACACGCCTAGTGTATATTACACATCATCTAATTGTTCAGACATAGACTACAGAGACTGCAACAGGAGTAATAACTATGTAGCTGAACAGTTATATACGGAGAATTGTTGTGTTATGAAGGCATAACTGTTAGTAAGAAGATTATGCGCAGTTACCCGGGATGCCCTCTTATTACGCTCTGCAGAGCGATCCATGGCGCTTTCAGCAGCAAACAACATTTTATAATTTGCTACCAACTGAAGCATTACTGCTGTGTCAGCTGTGCTATGGTGTAGCGGTATTTGAAAAATTCATACCGTAAGGGAAATTAAAACCACTATATTGGATGAACCGGTATACCTCCCAGCACTGAGTTATTGTAGATAAATGGCAGTTTGTCCTGATTTCTTTCCTGCAGTACTGCTATGTAATGACACACCTGAATGTGCACATCACTGTCAGTTGGTGTTTTTGAAATGAAAGATTCGGCTAATTCAGCACCAAGACGAGTTGGGCTAGTGTGAATACAAGTACGGTAAATGAATTTTTAAAAATACTACACCATAATGGATAGTTAATTTCCTATGCTTCGTATTTTGAGACAATACTTGTGTTGCACAGTTCTAACATGAAGCTGAAAGACATTACACATAGTGCAAACAGTAAACAAATAAGTATGAATAATCTTCGTGGTCCATGAAAACTCATTTCCTTCTAATCCTTCCATTTATGTAGTCACTAGCAAGAACGCCATGATGCCATATCAGATTCTCATAACTATAGGCTATTTATATACGTGGATCCATGCATGCAGATATTTCACACCTAATTCACATTTAGTGCAACTAGTGACAATTACAGATATTTTCAATTCATGGGAAGAAGTAACAAGACGTAGTATTTAAAACAGCAAATGACATTCTGTAAGGCAAATATATAATATTACGCAAATTACTGAAAATAATTACAAATAATAATTTGCGGGTGATGTGGTGGCCCTATTGTCTGACAGCTCTGAGACCAGGGTTCGAGTTTTTGCCATTGCTCCATGAATATGGAGCATTCGTGGTCTCCCCGCATCATCCTGGGGCCTCCTCCAGGTTACCCCCCCCCCCCCCAGTCCAAAAACATGCTAAGGTGACATGGAGTTACCTAGCTGTCTATCGATATGCGTGTGTGAGTGTGCCCTGTCCTGGGTTGTTCCCTGCCTTGCACCATAGTTTCTGGGTTAGGCTCCGTCCCCCACACAACCCTGAACTGGACAAGCAGGTTCAGAAAATGGATAGACAAGAGATAATCATCGGGGATGGGTTGGCACCCTGTCCTGGAGTATTCCCAAGCAGATACAGAAAAATGGATGGATGGACACTAATAATGAGGGTGGTTAGCACTGTTGCCTCTGGGATTGGGGTTTGAGACTGGTGTCCTGGTGATTGTGTGTGTGTCCTGCAATGAGTTGGCACCTAATCCTGGGTTATTCCCTGCTTTACACCCAGGACCCCTGCGATCCAAAATAGTACAGCTACAGAAAATGGATGAATCGACAATAAATAAAATTATATCACAGGAGACATTCTTAGATTTACTGTTTTTCGTGTGAAGGTGCAGGTCGATAGTATGAATTGTTAGCTTGCAGGTGGTCATTTTAAAATAAAGTGATTGTCCTTGCTGACACACTACAACATACGGTTGTAAAACAATCAAATGTGTCCGCTGCATTTAACCCATATGTGACATAGCAGGGGGCAGCTATTATTCAACACCCAGGGAACAGTGCTTGGGGCCGTACCTTGTTCAGGGACCTCAGTAGTACCTCGCTGGCCAGGGATTTTTTACCAGGAACCTTTCAATCACAAGTACGTTTCCCTAACCATTAGGCCACGACGGCCAGCAGGGTACTGCGGGTTTACCTGCAGCACACTACTTTATAATGGGTGTCGCCCTTTTCCGATTTGCCCACAATGTCGCGTACACCGCCTCCTGCGTTTCCACATTTTTTTCCGTCAAATTTTGTTGTTTTGTTTGATTACATCAGGGATTTTGCGTTAAAATATGCGTACGTGTATTTCGGGCGCCATTTCATACGTGCGCAACATGGATAAATTATGCCTCAGGTTCCAAAACTTCGGTGGGAAGCAATGGATTCCCATTCCTGCCAGTGCGATGAAACAAAAAAACCCAACAATCATTATAATGATATAAGTTTCTCGTTATTTCGAGATACTAAGTCATTATTTCACTGAGGTTTCTCGTTATTTTGAGATAAGATGTCGTTATTTCGAGAAAGGATCTTTTTTCCATCACATTGGCGGAAGACGGCCTTCGTAGTAAAGCGCCTCATAGGAACTGCGATAAAGCGTTTTGGAGAGCAAATGAGACTGCACAAGGGATATTTTTAAATGCAGGAGTGATTGAGATAGAAATCTAACGCAGAAGATGATTACTGGCAATCTGGGCGCAGATGAAAGTGACAGTAAGAAAACGGCTGTACTGAACAACAAAACCTAGACTCGTGAAATTTATGACGCCTGTAAAATAACGCTAATCTGCAAAAGTAGCCAGCTATTGCGACGTGACTAGCGACACATGTACAAAACGGAAAAACGTATTTAAGCGTATTCACACTTCTCATTAATGTATCATGAATATATATTTAAATATATTTCTGTTACCACAGAGAAACTGAAATACTTACTTGTTCGCAGAGTGAAAAAGGTCTGGCTGCAGACCTACTGTTGTTAGATACGATGGAGTCCGGCTATACAGAAACAGGAAGTCCACTGTGGTACCGGAAATGGCGTCACATCCACCGCAGTGTGAAGCTGTTTTACTGTGAAGTGGTAAGATACTTGGCACGGTCGCACGAAATACCTTGAGTTAAGATTTTCCTTAAATTCCGAGTTACGGTTTCCTTGATATAAAGTTTAAAGCACTAAACACCGTTAAGTCTTCTCCTTAAGGTTTCCTTAAAAAGTTCAGTCAAGTATTTAGGTTTTTCCCCTTATCTTGCTCATATAGAATATATATATATTTATTTGCAGACTCATGGTCCATAAAAAAAAATCATTCAGACAGAAATAGACAGATCAACTGTAAAATACCCCTAATGTTTCAAGAGACAGTCAAACCAATGTTTCCAAAGTTCAGAGGTCGGTTGCACGTATAGCACTATAGCACAATATTATAGCACTTCAGAGGTGTACCGTATAGCACTATCAGGGCTGCCAACTCTCACGCATCTGGCGTGACACTCACGCTTTCGGACTCTCACGCTCGTGCAAGAAATCTTACGGCAAATTTATATTATTACATTATAAACCTAAAATTAGCTGCAGCAAAAGCGTTGGGGTAGTTTGCAAACCCTACAGACCATTTACAAGGGAATAAAACTGTCACAAAGGTGTAAATGCGTGTGCGGACTTGTCTGAAATCGAAAATCTCACTCCAACCGACTGACCAAAGTTGACAGCCCTGGCACTATATTCACTATTAGTCAATAATAAAATTACACTATTATCAGACTTATTCAGTCGACAGATAAATGAATACATAAAGTTCCTTAAAACAGCCTTCAACGTGCTGACACCAGCTGACACAAACAATTCACTTGCACGTGTCCATCTGGGCTTCTTTAGCAAAAGTCTTAGAACATCGTTATAAGCCACTTGTAATCTCTGAAGGCTGGCTTTTTGATAATTCCACCATAAGTGATCTGTGTACAGTGAGGTACAATATGATCAAAACAAGTTCAGTTTTACATCACCAGAGCAAAATTAAGGAATCCCTTAAATTTCCCTTAACGGTTGCACAAAAGAACTTAACGACGAAAGTAAGAAAAAAACTTAAGCTACCCTGACCGGACCTTCACCGTAACACATCAAGATGACATTCAAAACGAGGCATCAGGATGACATGCATAAGGCATATACACATATTTTTTGGCACAAATCTAACCGCATGTACAACGACAGGGGTGCTAAGACTGCAGGAGTACATCGTAAAGCTGAATTGACATAGAAAAATGTTTAGTCAGGTGAGTAATCGACGTAGACAAACTCGTTGTCAAAATAGATTTGTCACAGATGAATGTTTCTGTTACATGCTCTGTCGACATGGACAGTGTGCTATTGACATATTTGTTTGCACAAATGGAACCCCATAAAATCACGTTTTTGTTACGCAAAAAACCTTCATCAGACTATATTCTCGCCAACATTTCTGTCAACGAAATTAACACTGGAGGCGATAACAGGTATCACGATCAGGCGTGAATGCAAGCAAACAAACGGTCTCCATTAAAACTGTGCAGTTTTACTGCTGTAAAATGTCTTTCAATGCTGTAAATCCCTTTAGGTTGTTCCTTACCGGGTCCAGGATTGCATTAAATTGTATAGCCTATATGTATGATGTACTTTTCAAAAAGTGCTGTTTACAGAAGGTTGGCATGTAGAAACTACTCGCATTCCAATATATGTATTTACGTCTCTTTTAGGACTATGAGGGATCGGTGTTTTCCCCTATTTTAATCGTGTATAAATGGTTTATGACATACCTTTACTTTACAATGTATTTATGTAATGACGTTCATCCATCACTTTTCTGTACCATGTTAAATACACAGAATAGCCGCACTGGCCGGTGCTGGCATTAGGTAACTGCATGGTCTGGACCCGTCGGGTGGACAGTTTAGAGGAGACGCTTCTCAGCGCAGCCGCGGCAGCAGCACGGTACCCG